TGCAGGAGATGAGTCTCACCCTGTGGAAAGTGTGGCACGAGGCTTTGCAGCTGGAGGAGTCAGAGAAACCACTTTCCTCCACCTGCACTACTCGGAGTTTCACTGTGGTCACTTACTAGACATCCTCCAACCCCTGTGAAAGATGAGGTGGCTTTGGCAGCCACACATCTCTTCCACGTCAGAGCCTGGACTCACGTCCAGAGCAGGATATCTTGTGCACTAAATGAGGCAAGCATCCTGTGGGAAAAATAGTATGCAATCATGTAATGAAAGATTGTATGGCACACGAGCAAAGGTGAAGTCATGGGCAATTTTAGTTGCCTGTTTCTTCATCTCAGATTCACGGGTGTGAAACATTCCTGTACTGTTAAGGTAATGGATGTTTTTATGCATCTCCATACATGACATTTTTAGTCAGTTTGCTTTTTTATAGGAAACAAAACCAGAACTTCCATCATGTAACATCTATTTGAGCTTAGGAGTCTTAGCTGCACCTTGCAGATATCAGCAGAGGTAGCAAAGTGAGAGCTGGGTGGGAGAGGTGTTTCTTTTGACTGCAAGGATGAGTGCCGTGAAGACCATGGGACAGTGGGATTCCCAGGTCTTTGCTGACAGCAGAGGGACAGGGGTGATTGGCCCAGCTCTCAGTGAGTTAACTGCTGCTAAGGTTCCCATCCCACCTTCTACCCATGTAGTCTCCTGCCCCACAGGATATCATGTCCCAGCCTCAGGCTCCCTCTCACCAAGGCTCTTTGCTCTCCCAGGCTCAGCTCAGCACAGCTGCCCCCCTCAGCAGCCATACCCACACCTTCTGTCAGGGCTTCCAGTTTTCATCATGGTCCCATTTCTCCCTCAGCTCCCAGTTTTACTCCCATCAGACTCCCTTTCCCTCTACCCCATCCCTCACCTTACCCCACTCTCCATCTCCTTGAGGTTTCCCTGCCCAGGCACACCATCCTTGCTGACACTACTCGCAGCCTCTCCTCCTGTATTTTCTCTTGGGTACTGAGGACTTTCCCCAAGCCACTGCCCATCTCAGATAGTCCCCTCCAGGAATGAAGTGCCCAGCCCAAGGACGTCACAGCAGCGAGCAGTGGGCAAGTCCAACATCAATTCTATGCCCTGAGACAAAAACATGGAACAAGCCAGTTGCTGGGAAAGGAAGAGAAATGCAACCTCTGAGGTCCCACGGAGCTAGGACATCTTGGAGCATGCATCAGCAGAGATTTAACCTTCAGTGCTCATAGAAGCCTCCACTAAGCATGTGCCATTTTGGGGTGATTTGAATGCTTTTAATCTGGCCAAGAGCAGGTGATTTTCTGAAGGAACACCATCCTTGACAGATCAGCAAGGCCACAGGACAGATCTTTGCTCCTGAGTATGGGGACCTGAGAGCAGCTTGTGGAAGCCCTCACCTGGGTCCTGCTGGTGCTGCAAAAACCCTCACATTATTCCTGGAGGTGATGAGACCCTTTGGGTTGAATGTGGGACCCTCAGCCTGACACAGTCAACTGCTATGGGGAGTTTGGGCCAAAATGGTTAACTTTTGGCAGAATTACAACCATCCAAAAGTAGAATTTACAACAGAAAATACCAAACATTGTTAATAATAGGCAGAGGTAGTTCCACACTTGTCATCGCAGTTGTTGCCTAGATAATTAGCATTTTTAAAAATTGGTAATTTAGGGGTGTAATGTGACATAGACAAAATTCAGAGCACTCTGAGAGACATCTAAAATGCCAGGAGGCAGTCTGGTGTAAGAAAACCTACAGTCTTACAGTAGCTTCTCAAAGAAGGGATAAAAGGGGAAATGAAAATGGAGGATATAAATAGAAGTATACAGGACTGCCTTTTTGGGAGTGAGAGAGGACGTCTGGGAGGGAAAAGAAGAGATCTTTTCTGCCAAAAAAAATATGGCTAATGTACGTATTTGCACTTCAGTTCCAAAGGATAAACTAGGCTGAGATGCTGCCCAGAGCTCTGGAGGGGGGTCATTGCAGCGACCTGCGGGCAGGCAGCCCCACGCCAGCAGCCGGGCCTCTCCCAGGCCCCGCTTCAAAAGCCTCTCAAGGGAACAAGCACAAGCATCTTTTTCCAGGGGATTTCTTAACTGATTTGCAAGGTCTATCGTATCTAAGATTTCGTTATTCTATCAAAAACACTTTGGTGCTATCCTATGAGGTACCGTAGCTTATTAAATTTAAACTGTAGCATTTGGGGTTTCCTTAAATGGGAAAAAGTACTTAGTTTGGTAATGCAGTGGCTGAGATTTCTTTTTCTAAATCTCTAAGGAGATGCTGCATAGAACCCCTTTTATGACGATGGGCACATTCCTGTTGAGCGTGGTCACCTCCCTCCTCATGTGAACCATTTAGGGACTGGTGGCTCCTCACTCCTAGGATGTAGTCTGGCTTTAAAAGGATGGCTCTGTGATTAAGGTATGACAGGAGGTGTTGGCAGACCCAGCTGAGTCTTTAGGGCCACCTGGCCCAAGACACCACCTTTTTCTATGTTTCTGTTTTCTGATCTGCCAAAAGGACCCATGAGTACCTCCACACCACCCGATTGCTGTTGAGATCCAACCCTTTTCTTTCCCAAAACCTCTTGAGATCCTGGTGCAGAGCTCTGATGCTCTGTGATTGTGCATAGAGTTGTGAGATCTGAAACTTGGCATCAGCTAAAATCGTTCCACTCTGATAATTTAATTAATCAACACTGTAGCAGAGTGTTTGAAATAATGTGTGCATTCATTTGCATAATGGCTGTAATTGGCAAAGCTTCATAATATAAGTGTAGCAGTTCCACAGATGATAGCGTGATAGGCCATGTTCCTACGGCCAGCCAGCAGCACACGTTTCAACCTCTGTTATTTGCTTTTCTATGGAAGAAGAAAATGACAGCTAGATTTATTGACCAAGAGACAGAGATGTTTTTTCTTCACTCAGGGTTGTGGATGCCCCATCCCTGGAAGCAGTCAAGGCCAGGATGGATGAGCCTTTGAGCAACCTGGTCTAGTGGAAGGTGTCCCTGCCCATGGCAGGGGGGTTGGAACTAGATGGTCTTTAAGATCCCTTCCAACCCAAACCATTTTGTGATTCTATGTTCAGCAGATTTTTGATGACATTTGAACACATATATTTTCTACGTGACTGTATTGCCATATCAAGATAAAAAGGCCATAGTCAGGTTTTAGAGCGGAACCTCCACTCCAAATGGAGTTGAATGCTTTTCCAAGTAATGGGATATTTGGCCATGGCACGTCCAAACATAGAGCCAAAGCTGATATATTCACTGTCATGTCAGAGTGGAGTCTCTAGTTTCAGAACCACAGCCACTAGGTACCTGAGTAACCTGTAAAGAAAATTAGTGACTGCCACAGGCGAGTCCCTTGCTTTGGTACCATCTCATTGGGAATGGCCCCAGGGAGTGCTCCAGAGCTGTCAGTGCACTTTGAAGTTAGTCCTGAAGGACAGGATATTATTTTAAATAAATACTCACCTTGTGAAAAACATGACTGAGGCGTCAGTGGCCATGCAGTGGTTGTGGAAATATTAATCCTCAGGAGATGGGCTTTAGGTAATCAATTGCCATCTTTTCACTATCTTACTAGATTCATTACATTGCAATTAGCGAGATGATTATTGATTGTTAACCAAATGCCAGACGACTGAGAAAGTACATGTGCTGACAAAAAAAAAACAGTGCAGCAGAAATATATTCCCTGCTCTGCACACAAGTGCACTGATATAGAAGGGCCCAGCCTGTGCTCTCAGGAGGACGCCTGCTGATAAGCCTGAGTGCAGAAGAGCTGTATCAGGATTAGACCCGTCATTACTTCACTGAAATGAAGTGACACTTAATAACTAAATTCCTGGAGAGCCCTGTGAGTGGTTGAGGACAGGGGCTGCCTCTTGGTTTGGAGAGTGCTTCAAAAGTCATTTGATACCTCTCCATTGTAGCTTCCCTTCCAGGTTTGAGGGACCCAGAGTACATTCCCAAGACACGTAGTAAGAAGAAAAACATGAGCTGCTTTAGCTAACCTCTATTGACATCACAGGCAGTTGGTGGGAGCACTGCAAACCTCATTTTTGGATGGAGCAGATGCAGTGCTGAATGGGACGTGATATCTGCAGAGACAGATGCAGCACTGGGAGAAAGTGGCTGAGTCCCTGGCACAGGCTTGGCACGCGACCGGGAGCAGGGACTGTCATGGGTAGTCCTGACATTTGACAATACCATGCTGCTTTCATGGTCAGGCTCTGGAGTGCATCCCCATCAAGTCTCCAGTGAAGCTGGCCAAAGGTCTTCCCATCATACTGGGTTTTAGTAGAAAATGTAGGTGCATCAAATACAACCGTTTTGTAACGTAACTTATTGATGTTGCCAAAGGTATTTTTCCTCAAGATTTCTGGTTCACAGGAAGGCAGGGAGGGAGAGACGATATGATTGTTTCTGACTCAACACGCATCCAGGTTTTTTTTAGTAAATAAAAGCTTCCCGTGTCCTGAAGTTTGTCCTGTGCAGGCTGTGAGCTAGCAGAAACCTCTGAGGCCACCCCTGAGGAACCTACCCAAGTGCTGGGTGCAGGAAAGGATGAGGAAACCTGCCTCCCTTTCCTTTCCCAGAGCAGCCTGATGTGATGTGGCGTTTCAGGCAGCTGCCAGCACTGACACATTGTTAATGCTCCAGGGGAAAGGAGCCTGAAAGCAGCACTGGCTTCTGGATTTGGCTTTACAGGTCAGCACCAGAAAATCAGTAGTCAATGGCAGCTTGCAGATGCCGCTAAGGTGCCCTCCATAGGATTTTGGGGGGTGGTTCCCTTCCTGGCAGCCAGCCACACATCCAGGGGAGCATCCATGAAGGTGGGGGCTCGGGCCAGTGTAAAACCAGCCAAATGTCTCTCCCGGTAGAGTCTGCGGACGCGTGGTGCCTGGCTGCTCCCATCAGGTGCGGGCTCAACCGCTGGCTGACCAGCTCCTTGCGTTTTTTGTCTCCAAAGGTACCGCGTTGTGGTCCCGTACCCACCGCAGAGCGAGGCTGAGATCGAACTGAAGGAAGGTGACATTGTGTTTGTGCACAAGAAACGGGAGGACGGCTGGTACAAAGGGACGTTGCAGAGGAACGGCAGGACGGGCCTCTTCCCTGGGAGCTTTGTCGAGAGCTTCTGAGGACGGCTCGCCGCTCTCTCAACTGGAGGAGCTTTCAGGGGAAACTGCATAGCACAAGAAGAGACGGCAAAGGGAAACTGGACTGATAACCACTGCCATTTTTATTTCCAAAGACTACCCCCCAGGCCCTTCAGTCTACAGCTCTGGAGACGCAGTGCCCCGCTGTGCTCCTGAGACCGCGTGCGGTGCATACAGTGGTATGTTGAAGTAGTGCCTTCCACCTGGAATCACAGACTGAAAGGACGCCCATCCGGACTGTACGTAACCTAAACTCCGGCTGTTAACCCTTTGTGTAAATTATAGAGAAGATATCTTTAAAAAAAAAAAAAATAAGAGGAAAGTTGTTATATTGCTGTAACTTATTTGTCAGAGCTGCAGTGTTCTTATTACTGGCCTATGCAAGATGGATTTGAGAGTTCAAGGAGGTATGCTAGGAAGCTCTTAAACTGGGATTTCGTTTTTCCCGAGGGAAAAAGAGGGAGGGGAGGGTGGAGAAAAAAAAAAGCAGCTAAAGATCGGTGCATCATCGTGCAAGAAAGAATGAGGAGTCCAAAACGTTAACGTCATGCTTTCTATATACCTCAAAGATATGCTGCACGAGTTTGTCAGTGAGTGTGTTAGTGCTCAGAGTCCCATGACATCCAGTGTCCCGGCGCTGCTGCCGGGGAGGTCCTGGAGGAAGCACGGCTCCACCATTAAACTGTGGTTATTGGAGCAGAATCCCTTTTGCCTGTCTTCTGCCCTTATTATATGCAGCATGGATTTTTGTCCTTCAGTATCACTTTCCATTGCTTTTTTGTATGATGTACCTTTTTACTGTAAGAATTGCTCTACTTTATATATATTCCTACTAGATCAGACATTTCCTCTTTTTCATACATCTGGTGCTATTTTTTTTAATCGTTAAAAGATTTGGTTTCGTTAAACAGAGAGGCTGCAACAATATTTGCATTCAACATATGAAATTAGAACCGTACCTGAAGATGGAGATCAGACTGCTTGTTCATGCTTCGTAGAGGAAAAGATTAAAAAGCGCTTGGTCACCGATAAATGTGCCTGAGGGAGCGTGCCCGGGCAACACGGACGCGCTTGCTCTCTCCTACACATTTAGAGCAGCTGAAGACCCACGCTGAAGCACTGCGTTCTGTCTGGAGAGTGATAATTACTCCAGAATTGGAAGCAATTCCCAGAGGAGTCGTTTTAATTGACTTTTTCATGGCAATAAGAAGAACACTGCAGGTTCTAGCATGCGCAGGGACCGTGGAGTTTTCCTCTGTCGTTGCATCACAGAGATGAGAGCTGATCCGCGACGGCTGTAATTAGCATTATGGAAATGTGATTTCTTACTGTAGAAATGTACAGTTCTGGAGACTGTTCAATTTCTTAACATGGTCAAGCTACAATACAAACCCTATCAGGCAATATAAGCTTCCATCTACCAGGGACTTAAAGGTGCAATAAATGTAAAGCGAGTTTAGCCAGCTATTCGGGTGAAGCAGAATGAGAAAGCAATTCCATAATGCGATTGTGAGAGCATTTAGAAAGACATCGGCTCTTGAGGAATGAAAGAATGAAAGGCTGTTCGTAGCTGTATCCGTACCTTGCCTCTGCCAGCGGCTGGCGGTTTGCCAAAGCCCACATGTGGTGGTCGTTTAACAGCGTGTCGGAGGCACTGTAACCTGGAGATGATCTTATTGAAAGGAAGAGGCCCAGTGGGTGAACATCATTACTGCGTTACTGGTATTTCACATGCAAAGGTGTAAGTTTTGTTTTCATTCAAGCCGTGTAGACTAGTGCACATCAAAACCCACGTAAGTGAGCGTTCCTATTTCAGTTCGGCTCCGTGACTTTGTTCTCTGTAAAATAAGTTTCTTCTTGGTGTCACATGTAACAAACCGATTCCAGAAACACAGTCCATGGCCAAGTATAGCACCTTCAAAAAGGGAGGCATCATTTTCAGGGTGTTTCTTTTTATATTTAACGTTGCCGCATTTGTTCGTATTCCAGATTCTAATGAGTCAGCCACTAAAAGTTTAGTTACTGTTGAGAGGAAATTGCCTTTTTATAACCAATAAGAGACTGAAGAAACGTCTTCTGGAAAGACTTGCTTGAGACTAGAGCCATATCTGTCCACTTATTTGGTCCAGAGCAGAACTGGTATCACTGCACCTCAGACAGTAAAATGCACAGTTAGCGAGTCAGCAACGCCAAAATGCGTGTTATCGATTCCAATAAAAATTCTGGGTTACATCTATCGGAGATGACAAGATTTTTTCTGACAAGTTACAGTGGTTAAAGCTCTCTTAAAATTCTGTTCCGTGAACGTATTTACTACATTCAGAAAAACGAAACAGGATGACAGCTTGCTTGCTGCCTATTGTGTTTAACCGGATCTACAATGGTTCCAGATTTCCACCTTTTCATGCTTAACTCTAACAGGGCAAAAGTTGGTGTGTCAGAAGATCAAGGAAAACACGTAAATGTCGTGTCATGAAATCAGTGCTTAAAAAATATATTTTACAGGGAGGATGATATTTTTTTAACAGACGACAACCCTTCCAGTCATCCCTCCTGCAAGGAAAAATATCGAGGAGGGGGCTTCTATTTTGATAACAGCTGTTTCTGGCCCCTGTTTATTGCTTATCATCGCAGTTTGGGTTACTGAGTAATCTTCTTGGACAAATCACTTCCATGCCAGGAGCACAAGTACAGAATTTAATACAGCTCAGCGATATGAAAACGTGACCCAGTGCCATTTGGAAAGTCCTGGACTGAGAGAGGTTTGACTCGTACTGTGGTCTAATTTTCACCTGTTACACCAGGGAAAGGGGGAGGAGGGGGCATATGCATCTCCTACAACGGGGGGAAAAAAAAGAAAAGACTCCTTTTGGCGGCCTCAGTTTGTAAAATGCCAGGTTTGCTCTTCTAGAAATGGGTTCAAGTAATTGAACAATTCCTTTGAACTTTGCACAGCTCAGAAAATGTTTTTGTTATACATGAATGTTAACGTGATTTAGGAAATGTTGGCAGATACGAGTACAAATGAACTACACTGACTGTGTTTCTGATTCTTTAAATAAAATAAACATTAAGGCAACTTGACTGAGGTTCCTCTCTCTATTAGGTGGCAAAGTGAACTAACAATGTAAGTGGCTCTGGGGTTTATAAGGAAAACAGAGAAGACCCATCTGCAAACCCTGCTCTTTTTGAGCTGACCCTGCATCTCCTTTGTTTTCACTAGTAATTCCCACATAAATAAAGGCCAGGTAAAGGTAAGAGATGCGTGAGCAAAAGTTAGAATCTCTTTTTAGCAAATCTGAGATTCTTCAAAATCTTGAGAAGTTAACACTTAGCTTACATGTGGAGAAAAGGTATGTACATTGAGAGAAAGAGAGCAAGGACAGACAGGGAAGACAGACTAAGGTGGTGAGGGCAAGGCCATGGCAGAGAGGCTGGGAGGGGATGTGGCAGCAGAAGCATTTGCAAATAAAAGGGTAGCCTCTGATCCTGCTCGAGGGCTGCAGAGGTGCTCGGAGGTCCCCTGGTGGGTTGAGCAGTTTTGTGGGCAGAGGAAGACCCCCTTCCTCCTGCCCTTGGCTTGGGCACAGCACCAGCAGGGTCTGCATGGAATCATAGAATCATAGAATGGTTGGAAGGGACCTCAGAGATCGTCTAGTTCCAACCGCCCCGCCATGGCTGAGACACCTTCCGCTAGACCAGGTTGCTCAAAGCCTCATCCAACCTGGCCTTGCACACTTCCAGGAATGGGGCATCCACAACTCCTCTAGGCAACCTCTTCCAGTGCCTCACCACCCTCTGAGTGAAGAAGTTCTTAGATCTAATCTGAATCTACCCTCTTCCAGTTTAAAGCCATTATCCCTTGTCCTATCACTGCATGCCCTTTTTATGTACAAAGTCCCTCTCCAGCTTTCCTGTAGGCCCTCTTTAGGTACTGGAAGGCTGCTAGAACATCTGCCTGGACCCTTCTCTTCTCCAGGCTGAACAGCCCCAACTCTCTCAGCCTGTCTTCCTAGGAGAGGTGCTCCAGCCCTTGGATCGTCTTCTTGGCCCACCTCTGAAGTCCCTCCAACGGCTTTTATGTTGTGGGCCTCCGAGATGAATGCAGTACTCTAGATGGGGTTCTCACGAGAGCAGAGTAGAGGAGCAGAATCACCTCCCTCGGCCTGCTGGCCACACTTCTTTGGATGCAGCCCAGGATATGGTTGGCTTTCTGGGCTGCAAGAGCACATTGCTGGATCACGTTGAGCTTCTCATCAACCAGCACTCCCAAGTCCTTTTCCTCAGGGCCGCTCTCAATCCATTCTCTGTCCAGCCTGCATTTGTCTTTGGGATTGCCCCAACCCATGTGCTGGACCTTACACTTGGCCTTCTTGGACTTCATGAGGTTTGCAGAGACCCATTTCAAGCCTGTCAAGGTCCCTCTGGATGGCATCCCTTCCCTCCAGCATGTCAACCACACCACACAGCTTGGTGCCGTCAGCAAACTTGCTGAGGATGCACTCGATCCCACTGTCCATGTCGCTGACAAAGACTTTAAACATATCCTCTAGTCTATGTACAGCCAAGGAACCAGGAGAGAGGGAAGAGGCGGGTTGTACCCTGGGCACCTGAATGCCCAGGTGAGGGGCATAAGCCCATCTTCACACATGGCCTGAGCTTCCCAGTCAACAGCACAGTGCAGAGCGTTTGGAGGACGGGCACGCACTGGGTCTGGATGTGTTTGCCTTGACTCAGTTGGGAGACACCTTGGAGGAAGAGGCATCCACAGATGGTGATTCATTGCCCCAGTCAGGAGCATGTCCGTCAGGCAGGAGCCACGCTCAACTAGCTCTCCAGGGCATCTTTGTCATGGGCTTGCTCAAGGCAGCCACCTCTCCAGCGAGGTGACACGAATCTCCCTTTGCTTCAGCTGGATCCTGAGTAGTCGAAGTTCTGAAACGTGGGAACCGCACGCATTTGAACGTGGGCAGGCAACAGCTCTCCCTCTGCTCGGCCTCACCAGCTGCCCTGTCTGACAAGCAGCGTGGTACAAAAAGGCACATGGAGGAGCCTGACGGCTGTTTCCAAGCTGGTCTGCAGCACCAGTCCCCTCTGCACTTCACCAGGTCCAGCTCCTCTGGCCCTTCTCCCATCCGCGCTGCCAGCGCACGCCACATACCTCGCCCAGCCTTCCCGCCACACGCCGCCCTTTGCTCTTGCTCCAGCGCCTGATGGGAATCCCAGTCATGTTTCACAAGAAAAATAATCATCCTAAAAATTGTTACATGGCTTGACTATTCCTAAACGCTTGTGGAGAGCAGAACCACCTGGACAACATCTGCAGGGCTTTCCTGCGGCCAAAGGCGCTTCCTGACATTAGCAGCTCCTTATAACATGGTGAACCTGGCAGCTGCCCAGCTTGGCTAGCTGATGCCAAACCAAATAAATGAGCTGTACTAGCAGGGAAGCCAAGAGGTGATACAGTCTGGAGAAGGCCCTGTCCTTGTGTCCCAGCCTTTCATGTAGCAAAAATAACTTTCCAAGCGGTCACAGATGTATTTCCAATCTCTGGGGTGTGGGTGTCTCACCTCCCTTTGGAAAACAACTCGATTTTTCTCAGTCGCCGCGCAGCACCACCTGCCCCACGCTGCTGCAGCAGGACCACAAGCCAAGCCACCAAGGGGCTTGCACCACGGGGGTCCTCTCACCCCCAGCCCTCCCCACTGCATCTGGCAGCTGCCGTGTCCTCTCCGTGCTTATACGTACCAGCTCCATTGCAGATGAGCCCATCCCCACTTGGCTCTCTTTGTTACCCCCACCCCACGGAGATCCCCTGCAGCCCCAGGGGAAGACAGCCAGCGTCCCACCAGCTTGGCCAGGGTGTGGCTGGAAGGTGTGCCCAACACAAATGGCACTTTGGCACCAGCCGAGATGCGATGCGGTGTTTTTGCAAAGGCAAAAGAAAGAATCTTGCATGCAGGATTAGGAGCTTTGCAGCCTCCTGTGTGCGCACGTACGAGTGTGTGCGGAAAAACCCAGGAGTGAGGACAGCAGCCATGGAGTGGGGATGCCACAGTGGTATCTGCCCACCCCTCTCAGGCAGGGCATTGGAAAGGGGCTTTTTTAGTTAGAGGTGAGTGTCCTCGGGGAAATGCTGTGCCGAGGAAAGCGCGGGCTCCACCGGCGCTGCACAGCTGGGGAGGTGCCGGGCTGCACCCTGGCAAAAGGTGGGGGTGAGCGGTGAGGGAGCTGCCTTCAGCGGTGAGGTTGCTGTCACCCATGGGCTCCCTGTGGGGAGTGCAGCAGTGATGGGAGTGATGGGGCAGAGGAGAAATGAGGCCATTAAGAGACGAGGGAAGGAAGGGATGCCTTCAACTTACCGTCAGAGAAGGAAAACATACTGCATTTTAATTTCCCACCCTCACAAGAGCTTGGTAAAGCTGATGCCAGTCATGTCAGTGCATGCAACCCCCTGGCAGGCCCCAGGAGGGCAATTTTGGGGTGTGCATGACAGCAGCAGAAGGCAGTCCTATTGCCAGGAGGGCATGTCCTCTGCTATCCCACCTGGGCAAGCACGACCACTCTTGGGGCCCAGGACTCTGAGGAGGGTGCAGGCACAGCCCAGGAGACTACGGGGACAGAGCAGTGAGTGGCAGCGCATCTCCGCCTGCTGAGCGGACACGCGCCATA